AGTTACAGAAGAGTTTATAGAAGGAGGAGGGCGAGGAAATATTGGCATGGGGAGAATCCAAAGGGAATTAATGTAACAGAGATTGTTTCAGATCCAAAGAAAGCTAATAATCAGGTCTGCACGTCAGTTCATCAGATTTCTACAGCAGCAGAGTTTAATTTTCAAGGCAGAGAGGAGACAAATTTAGTAGAAACAGCTGTGGTTAGTAGTTTTGATGGAGAGCCAGAGGGTTGTGTTAAGGATAGACATATGTTCAATTCCAAATCTGGTTTTTGTAAGAAAAGGGCAAAAAGATCATTGGTAAGAGAAGCTCTAGAACATGTTAACATTTATACAGCATCTTCTTCAGAGTTTTTGGAGCTTTTGGATGAAGCAGTAGCTACATGGCAAGTGAGTCAGATTCTGGGTGTTTCTTTTATTGAGGGGAAGGAAGCTTTTCTGGATAAAATCATTAAATTAGAACAGGGCATGAATATGGCCAATTGAGTTGCCATAGTGGGGAAGTCAGTTTTTCAAGCAATATTAATGAAGGATAAATTAACAATAATTTCATGGAATGTAAGGGCTTGGGAAGAAGAGAAAAACAGAAAGCAGTTCAGAGATTAGTCTCTAGCACATATCCTTCCTTTCTTTGGCTACAAGAAACTAAAGCAGAGAAGTTACAAAGATCTTTTCTGAGAAGGAATGGGCTGAATATTTTTCAGGGTGTCATTGAATCTCCAGCTGTTGATTCTTCAGGGGGTTTATTATGTTGTTGGGATGAAAATGTGTTTGAGATGGAAAATCACTGCATTAACAGAAGATTCATTGCTGTTGTAGGGAAATTCAGATTGCATCAATTCAGAAGTGTTCTTATAAATGTTTATGGGCCCTCAGTGGAGGAAGAAAAAGAAAGTTTTTTTGAAGAACTTAGGGTGTTCATTTCTGGACAGAATCTGCCGGTTTGTGTTGGAGGGGATTTTAATGTATACTTGTGTGATGAGAAGGTGGGTAGAGCTCAGAATAGATTCTCAATGAGGATTTTTTTCTCAATTTATTCAGTCTTTAGGGTTAATTAATCTGCCTTTGAATGGGGGCAGGTTCACTTGGTGTAATAACCAAGATGATCCAACATTTGTTAGATTGGACAGGTTCTTGGTGGATGGTCAATTTTTTGCTACATTTCCTGAGATTTTTCAGTCTCTTATTCCTAAATCCATTTCGGATCACAATGCTATTTTATTACAAGATGAAGGAATTGATTGGGGAAAAAGGCCTTTTAGACTTTTAATTATCTAACGGAGGAGGACGGTTTTGAGGAAATGGTAAGACATTCCATTACAGATTGTAAGAAGCCCGGGAGAAAAGGTGGAATCTTAAGTATTTTGAGGAACTCTAAAGCAGCCATCAAAAAATGGGCAGGGAAGAAAAACCAGTTTCCAGGAGCAACAATCTCAGATTTAGAAAAGAAAATTCAAAAGCTTGAGGAGGATGCCCAGTAATTGAATGTCAGTTCTGTTCAGGGGATTGCTGATGAGATTAGTGTTTGTAGAGCAGAATTATGGAGACTTCATAGAATTGAGGAGCAAATTTGGTTTCAAAATTCTAGGAAGAAGTGGATTAATGATGGGGACCGAAACACAAGATTCTTTCATACTTGTGCTTCAGTTAGAAGAGAACGAAATGCTTTGAATGCTTTAATAGTTGATGGGAATATTACTCATGATCCAACTGTTATCAAGGCCAAGGTCAAAGATCATTTTTTCAAAATTTTCAATGATCGGTCTACTTTAGACGTTGAGGATATTGATTTGGTTTTTCCTAGAATTTCACTCGAACAGAATATGCTTTTGGAGAAGGATTTTTCCGAGGAGGAGGTTTGGGAGACTAAAGTCTTGCGACAGTAATAAAGCTCTGGGGCCAGACAGTTTGAACATGGGTTTTTTTAAAAGGTTTTGGTCTGTTCTTAAGGGAAACATTATGCAGTTTTTTCACAGATTCTTTGTGGGGAAGGATTGGGAACATGGTATTAACCATACTTTTATCACCCTAATTCCTAAGGGATCAAACATTGGAAGCCTTGATGATTACAGACCTATAAGCCTAGTAGGAGGTGTTTATAAGATATTATCCAAGTGTCTTGCAAGGAGGCTCGAAAGTTGTATAGGAGATATTATCAGCCCGACTCAATTTGCTTTTATACCCGGTCGACAAATTTTGGATTGCTCTCTCATTGCTAACGAGGGTATTGATTATTGGAGGAAGAAAGGGCTAAAAGGTTGTGTTTTTAAAGTTGATTTAAAAAAGGCATATGATACGGTTGATTGGCTTATTTTGTTCAAGGTGATGGATAAGATGGGATTCGGTTTCACTTGGATAAGTTGGATTAGGAGATGTGTTTCTACAGCTTCAATTTCTGTTTTAGTCAATGGGGTTCCATCCGAGGAGTTTCCAATGGTCAAGGGTCTTAGACAGAGATGTTCACTCTCACCTTTATTATTTAATCTAGTTGGGGAATTACTGAATCTATTAATCCGAAGGGGTGTTTCTGAGGGATTATTTTCTGGTATGACAGTTGGCAAGGAAGAAGGATCATTTAATCTTACGCACTTGCAGTTTGCGGATGACTTAATTATTTTTTGTGGAGCTTCGAAGACTCAAATTATGAATGTGAAGAGGGTGCTTAGAGTATTTGAGGTTATGTTAGGGTTGCAACTGAACCTTAAGAAAAGCAGATTGTTCGGGATTAATATTCCCCAACAGGAGGTTAAGACTTGGGCAGATTCTATTGGTTGTACAGTGGGAAACTTCCCCACTAATTATCTAGGCCTCCCTCTAGGTGCTACTAAGAATTCCTCTGTTATTTGGGAACCAGTGGTGCAGAATTTTCACTATAAATTAGCAGGTTGGAAGGCTGCTACTCTATCTTTAGCAGGGAATTGGTTTTGATCAAATCGGTTCTTTCCTCACTGCCTACGTATTTTTTATCTTTGTTCAAGATTCCAGCTTCTATCCTTAAGTCTCTAAATTCAATTATGTCTATTTTTTTTATGGGGAGGGGGAAATGGTAATAAGAAGATACACTGGGTTAAATGGGATGATGTTTGCAGATCAAAGAATGAGGAGGTTTGGGAGTTCGGAATCTGATTTGTATGAACAGGGCACTGCTAGGGAAATGGTCTTGGAGGTTTGCAAATGAGAGAAGTTCTGTTTGGAGGAATTTTATTTGTAGCAAATACAACATTGATTCTTCTAGATTACTGTTTGATAGCAAGATTTCTACTCAATCTTCCTGGTTATGGAGATCAGTGGTTAATAACCATTACAAACAAGACTCCTTTAGTTCTAAGTTTAGTAGTTTGTGCAATTTTCACGTTGGAAATGGTAAGCATGTTCGATTTTGGCAAGATAACTGGGCTGCTGATTTTCCGTTTCAGATTATGTTTCCTAGACTGTTTTCGCTTTCTACTAATAAATACGGTAAACTTTGTGAGTTTGGGGAATTTCTTTCTTCGGGCTGGATTTGGGATGTTCAAGTTCGAAGAAATTTAAATGATTGGGAGCTTGAACAATGGTGTAATTTGGTGAGCATCATTTCTTTTTCTCTATCTCTTGATTCTAGTGATGGTTTGATTTGGAAAGGTAGTGGGGACGGTGTTTATACAGTCGGTTCTTGTGTTAAGAGGTGTGGATCAGGTTCAGAAGATGTTCATTTCTGGAATAAAATTGTTTGGAGAGGATTGGTTTCCCCTAGAGTTGAAACATTAGTGTGGCAAATTGTGCTTCACAAATTGCTGTTAAAACCAAATTGGTTAAAAGAGGTGTTCAAGGTATTGAGGATGAGTTATGCCCTCTTTGTAGAATGGTTGAAGAAACTTCATCGCATCTATTCTTTTCTTGTTCGGTTGCGTGGTCTTTGTGGAACAAATTTCTAAATTTTTGGAGGTTTAGTTCTGTGTTTCCTACAGAAGCAAAAAGTTTTCTTCTAGCTTGGGATGAGTTGAAATCCAATTCTGCAATATGGACTTTCATTCCTGGGGCTGTTATTTGGTCAATCTGGAAAATCAGAAATTTTATTGTTTTTGAAGGGGGAAAGCTTGATCAGTCTGAATTATTTTTCTTAACAAGAGTTAGGCTGGCCTCTTGGTTTCTAGCAAAGAATAAGGATGTTTCTATTACTAAGGACTCTTTAATTTCTGATCCTTCTATAGGAGATTCCTATTCGTCCTACAATTTCTTGAAGTCTTCTATAATCCCTTGGTTACCTCCCCCTATGGGTTTCGTCAAGGTAAATGTGGATACAGCCACTAGCAGTGATTGGAAGGAATCAGGTCTTGGAGGTCTTATGAGGGATCAATCTGGTGCAATCCTAGGTTCTTTTCAGGAGCCTGCTGGTTCAAACCTCCAACATTGAAGGAACTTAAAGCTATTCAAAGGGGTATTTCTTTCTTTGCCTCTTTTCAAGGGAGGGTTAAAGATAGGCTGATCGTTGAGAGTGATTGCAGGGTTGCAGTAGACTGGATAAATAATGTTGACTCATGTCCAATTGTATATGGTTTTATTGTTAGAGAGATTGTTGATAGTCTTAGAACTTTCGGGGGGGTTGTTAGATGGGTTGCAAGGACAACGAATATGGATGCTGATGGTTTAGCAAAGGCTGGTATAGGTTGATTTTTATGTTGTTGGCTTCTTTAGTTTGGTTTTCTGGCTCCTGTATTGTTTGTAAGTGTTTTTTGGAATAGTTGTTCCAAGGTTGTAATTCTATTTTCTATAATGAAATTATAAGCACTCTTTTCTCCTTCCGATGATTAAGAAGCTTCTATACAAGCTCCATTAATCAAGAAGGAGGTTTTTAATGAGCCTTCAAATCTTATCAAAAAAAATATATCATTGACATGCCCAATGTCAAGCGTTTAAGAAACGAAATTCAAAGTGGGTGATAAAATAAGGAAAGGCATCCACATCAATTTTCAAACAGTCACCAAAAGATATATGTAAAAAAAGACTAAAACTAAAAATACCTGCTCAATTGCTTCTTCAGTGAATGGATGCCAATAACGCATACCAACATATACTTTAGCAGGGACATTCTTTTCCCATAGTGAATTTCTTAACTCTTCAGCCTGAAATGGATAGTGATAGGGCAATACAAATCAAGGACTAAAAAAGGAGATACTAACATGCATGAGATCAAGATTGCTTAAGCTACATATTCCAGTTCTGCAGGCGAAGGAACCATCCAAACCATCAGCCAAAACAAGGTCAATTATATATCTGCTCTATGAAGGTGGAAGCTTTAAAAGCCAACAACAAACAAATAAAATAAATTTCAGTAATCTGGACACATCAATTTTTCCATTTACACATAAAACAATACATTTAAAACAATAAATCAGTCGACAAAATGAACAGATCTATACAAGTTGAAACTTGAAGAATTACTCTCTAGGTTGATAGTTGTCATTACCAGTTCCAACCAGGGTTTTAAAAAACGGTCCGCACCGCGATGTCGGCCGCGATATAGCGGTTTTGCCGCCGTCCGAGTTACCTGCGACGGCCGCAATCACGGTAAATCTGAAATAACCGAAAACGCGACCGCGATTTGAAACCCTGGTTCCAACATTTAAATATTTCTAACACTATTTGAATCAAGGTTGCAACATAAAGGATACATGTCTCTGACCCTTATCGAGGGGGGAAAAGAAATAAAACATTTCCATTAAAAGTAAAATCAGATAACAGCATAAAATAAATTAACGAAAAGTGAATGTTTACGGCACATCACTGATTAAGGAGTTCATATAAACTCCATTAATCAAGAAGGGGTGGTTTAACGAGGCCTGAAATTCTTATAAAAAAAATGTTTACGGCACATGTTTGTGCATGGCAACATACTCGGTCACCTGAAAATTACTTCATAATAGTTCAGGTGCAATTTATTTTTTCTCTTCCACATTACTTAATGAGCATCATAGTAAAATGAAAATGGTAGGTTCTATAACATATAAAACTGTCCAAAAGAAATTCTAATGATAACAAAAACAATCATACCTGAGCATCAGTTATTCGTCGAAGAGGAGAACCACCACCAATTGAAGCACAGCCTTCCTTGCTCTTTGGTGCTCTAAGAACAGATATAAACTTTGCCAAGGGCCTTTGCAAAAAACGAAACAACCTTGGTAGCCGTATAATATCCTGTCCAATTAGGTAATTAACACTAGAAAGCAGAATGGAATGAAAAAAATTGTCCAAGAAACTTGATAGAGGGAAAAGATATAACCAAATTCATTTTTTGGGGGTTTCGGATTCTTATTTGGTCAACCCGACACATATAACTAGACATGGAAATAGATAAGGAGGGCCTTATCTTCTTGTATATAGAGGTTAAAGGGTCACAATATTAATCTCTTCTAGGGCAATTCAAGTTCTTTTAAGAAGTTATGTTGTACTAGATTCACCACAGCCGTAATGAAAATATAACTAACATTTTTTTTGGATCATGATGAACTTAGTAGCACACCAAAGCAAACCAAGTAAGTAAACTTGAAACAAACGATCTACACTTTTAACATGATACCCAAATTGCTCAGTGTTGTTGTGCATCCATATCAGATTTTTCGTGGCCTTATATTAAAGTTGGATCTCTCCAAAGTTACCAATTGATTTTGGGGTTTTCTTATACAATTATGTTATTTTTTTTCACATGATAAACTCAATTGTATTTGTACCAAATTATCAGCATTAGACCTCCATGTAAAAGGGAGTAATATATTAGTCATCATACTGAAGAAAGGTCATAAACTCATAATAATTACTAAAGATGCTAAAGAAGAAGAAACGGGAGCGTAGAATGAAACAAACCGGGTCGGCGAAAAGGTTAAACAAGAAGGGCTGCACATCGTCAAGGGTCTCGGGACCTCCAAGGTTCAACAACAAGACTCCAATCTTTTCCTCGCCAATAAGAGGCCCAGTGGAGACAGCTTGAGTGTTTGAAGTCTCCAAAGCTCCCACTCCCTCGTGAAACAAATGTTTCTTATTGATAATGATATTAGACTGTTTAGAAAATGAGAACTGAGTCGTCTCGGGCACTAGGCAATTTCCAGACACCCTTTGAGAGAGAGAAAGAGCTCGAGGCGACAACCTGAGAACATCCAAAGTATCAAAGGAAAACAAGGGTAAAGTAAAAACGAAGAAAGGAAAGAAAACGTAAGTGGATAAGAACATACAGACGAGGGAACTTGCAACGGCGAGAAGCAGAGGTGAGGCATGGAGGATGAGGGAATGTGGAAGAAGATGATGCTGAACAGGAAGCAGAGCTCTGAATTCTTCCACTTCTCATTGCGTTGTATTAAGTCTTCAATTACACAAAGAAATGGAACCCCAAATCCCTAAACAAAAACAATCAAAGAGTAAAAGTGAGGAACCCGAGATTAGAGGTGCAAAGCAAAGCCAATCGCTTGCTTTTTAGTTTCTTTGACAGATAATGATTAAGCGTTGTCCTCCATTTTTAATCCAAAGGAAGGGAAGGGAAGAGTGGGAGGTGGGAGAGAGACACCTGAGAACTGAATGACACAACCACTCTATAAAATCGTCTTCGGTCGTTTTCATCCTCATCCTTCCCTTTTATTCACTGCCTACCATTTTCCCCCTTTTCATTTTTTCTTTTTCTTTTTTCCTTTAAAAATATTCACTCAATGATAACGATTGTATTAAGGTTTAATAATTAATTTTGGCTTGGTGAGAAAAATAAGTATTTAAAGTATATCCAGCTGTAGAGCACAAGGCTTTTAATATTGGGTAGTAGAATTGAATCTCACAGAGGGTATTTCATAATTCGGATGTCTCTTACGAAAGCTGCTCTCAACTTGACGTTGGCGCAGCCTACTATCCTATCTCCCCTTACCCTATTACATGTGAGAATGAGGGTCAACTAATAATATCAGGTGTTTAAAGTATTTTTTTATTTAATTTAATGATTAACATTTTCTCTATTATTATGTTAATTATTTGACTTATCATGATTGTTAAAAAAATAGTTGATCACTTAAAGCATAACATATATCACTTTTATAATTTTTTATAATTTTATTTTTAAAAAGAGAAAATAACCTCAGTGACCAACAATACCTTATAATATATGATTTTAATCAAATTTTTTTGGATTTGCCAAAATAACCAACTAAATCGCAATGCGATCGATAATTCACAACGCGATCTCCGGTATTGCAAATCAGTTTCCATATTCGCAACGCGATTCTGACTATCGTATTGCGATTTCCCAAATTCGCGTTGCGATTTTCCTAAATCGTAATGCGATTACGTAAATCGCAATGCGATTACGTAAATCGCAATGCGAATACGTAAATCGCAATGCGATTACGTAAATCGCAATGCGAATACGTAAATCGTAATGCGAATCTGACTATCGCAATGCGATTTACATAGCGCCATTTGTATTAACGTGTATTTTTTTTCAAATTCCAAACACGAATATATTAATATATCGGAACACTGAACCGTCCACAGTATATCCCGTAATCGTAACTCATAACCTAAAACCCTAAATCACAACTCAGTCTCATCTCCATTTCTCACTCTCTAAGGCGACATCTGTCCCCATCTCCGACGAAATTAGTCCCCACGACGATAACAGTCTCCATCTCCGGCGAAATCATTCACGGTCAGAAATTGAAAATCAACCAAATCAACCACCGAGGGTTAGTTTTTTTAATTATTTTTATTTTGAAATTTTTGCATTATTATTAGGTTTTTCATATTGAAATTGATGATAAGTTTACTGGTGTTTTTAATAATAGATTAACCATTTCACTTAAATTGCTTATTATATTCATTCGATTGCTGCCAATACTGCTAAACTGTTTAGTCTTTAACCCTGTGAAGTTAGTATTTGTCTTTGTTTTGTCTTTTGGTTGAAGTAATGCAATCCATTCAAGTTTCTTTCAATTTTAGTATTTGAAACCGAGAATGACTATCGCAACGAGTGAATCGCAACGCGAAAATGATTATCGCAATGCGAATTTGACTATCGCAACGAGAGAATCGCAATGTTATTTTCATTTCGCGTTGCGATTCTTGCGTTGCAATAGTCAAATTCGCGTTGCGATAGTCATTTTCGTGTTGCGATTTTCATTTTCGTGTTGCGATTTAAAGTTTCAGAAACTATTATTCTTCTGCAAATTGAAACTTGAATGAATTGCATTACTTCAACCAAAAAACAAATACTAAATTCACAGTGTTGCAAATTTAAGTTTGAAGAATAAACTACTACTCTTTATGTTTATTGTTCATATCTTCACAGTGTAGTTTTTGGTATATCTAAATTGGTATGTTTATTATTTTTGCAGAACTTTTATTCGGCTCAATTGACCTTAAGAAATAAAGTAAGCTTGGCCAAAACAATTGCGTCGAAGCTTTCACCTGCACAAAGAAAAATATTTGAGGATACTTAATTCGGGTCATGGCTGAAAGTACAACATTCGGGTGGAGATGCTATGTTGACCCATCTGTTTCTTCAAACCATGACTAGCGATCTACCAGAGACTATACAACATCGTGATGAAGAGATATGGTTTGATTTTCCACCGGCTTATACGTGTTTTGGGCGGGAGGAGTTTTGCTTAATCATTGGTCTACGCTTCAGACACGATGATGTAGATCGGTACACTAGACATATTACCCGCCTATCATGGTTTTCTCGGTTTTTTCCTGAGCAGTCAACGGAGAAGTCGAATTTACACGTGGAAGACTTGACGAGATTATTAAATAAGAAAGATGGTTTTACTCGGATGGATGACGTCGATGTTGTCCGAGTATGCCTTCTAATACTTTTGCAAGCCGACTTTTTAGGCAGAGAGGCCCGACAACCTATTCCTAATGATCTAATTAAATTGGTAGAGGACCTAAATACATGGAACCTATTTCTGTGGGGTTCGTATCTATGGAGAGCTACATGGAATAAGTTGTCGTCTGCCTTTGATGATCGAAAAAGTTTGCGTGGCGATGGTTCCAAATACACTTTGTCAGGCTTTATTTGGGCCTTTAAGGTAATAATTTTTATATAATGTTTCCAAAATTATAATTAATTCTTTAACAATTACTAATGTTTGTTATTATATTGTTTGTAGATTTGGATATTTGATGCCTTTCCCGCCATGCGGACATATGCTTTAAAAACTTCTAATGATATTCCTAGGGCTATTTCCTGGAAGAGGAAACGGTCCTTGCAGCAATGGGAAGATTTACTACCGTATACTACAATAAATCATGTAAGTTAACACAAATACTACCATATGTTTATAAACAAGTTATTACTAGTACACGTTTAACTTTGTTTGAGCTTTTATATTGTTAGGAGGCCAACACTCCATTACAGAGGCTGACACCCACGGAAGCTGAGCTTGCCACTGATTGGTGGCAAGCTAGTAAGCTTTTTTTTGATGGCACGGATGATGAGCAGCCACCACTTCGAGAGCCATCACCTCACCCAGAGCCATCACCTGATCGACCCGAATATACACCTCCACAACGAGAGTCATCACCTATTCTGTCACATCATCGAGCCTCTTCTCCACCATCATCTCATGATAGGCGACCGGAAAAGATGCCACGACGTTTATCTCCCTGTTCTCCACCTCCACGGGATGAGTTAGGGGAGTTACGTAATGAGGTCAATGCCTTGCGTGAGGAGGTCAGTACTTTACGCGATGCCAATGGTGCATGGCGTGTTGAGGTGTCTACTTTACGTGGTGAGGTAGCAGCTCTATGTGAGATTATAGCATCGTTGTAGAACGAGGTTCATACTCTACGCAACGAGGTAAGTTTAATATTTTTCATATTTAACTTGATAAATTTACTCGTAATTTCACTTAGATTGCTTAGTAAATTCATTCGGTTGTTGCAAATACTGTTTAACTGTTTATTCTTTAACCCTCTAAAGTTAGTATTTGTTTTTGGTTGTCTTTTGGTTGAAGTAATGCAATTAATTCAAGTTTCAATTTACAGAAGAAGAATAGTTTACTATCGCAATGCGAAAATGACTATCGCAACGAGAGAATCGCAATGCGAAAATGACTATCGCAATGCAAAAATGACTATCGCAATGCAAAAATGACTATCGCAATGCGAATTTGACTATCGCAACGAAAGAATCGCAATGCGAAATGAAAATCGCATTGCGATTCTCTCGTTGCGATAGTCATTTTCGCATTGCGATAGTCATTTTCGCATTGCGATAGTCATTTTCGCGTTGCGATTTTAAGTTTCAGATTCTATTCTTCTTCTGCAAATTGAAACTTGAATGAATTGCATTACTTCAACCAAAAGAAAAATACTAACTTCACAGTGTTGAAAATTTAAGTTTCAAGAATAAACTACTACTCTTTATGTTGTCATTGAACCTGCACTAAACCTATATGTTGTCCTTTTAAATATTTATATAAGTGCTTACTTCTGGAATGTTATCTGATACATTTTGTGAACAATGATATAATAATGACTTGGGTGAATACCGTGCAAGTTTGAAATATATTTTTCTTTGTTCTCACTGTTTAATATAATGTCTGTTTATTTACTGATTTATGTATTAATTTATTTTTAGCGGCCCGCTAAGGTGGATGCTCTACGTCGGGTTTTTCTTGCAAGACGGAGTTCACGCATCAGACGGCGTGTACGTGCCATTACGTCTCCGTTCACCCCAATAGTGCGAAGAATCCGTAAGAAAAAGCCCAACTCACCTGTCATCGTTCAAGAGGCCTCCCCTATCGTTCAAGAGGCCCCTATCATCCCTCAAGAGTCCCCTCCCACCGTTCAAGAGGCCACATTCATCGTTGAAGAGGTCCCTCCCAACATTCTAGAGCCCGATTCACACGGCGTAATATATCGAATTATTGAGAAGCCCCCTCACGTGCCGGACATGATGGATGACTGTTGGCTTTCGTATAAGTTATCGGCCAGTACCATTCCGGCAGATGAAGCGGAGAGGAAACAACTACCGGAAACAATTCTGGATAATACCCTTTGGGCTAAGACCGTAGTTGATTTTTATCTACATGAGCGGAGCCAAGGGTGTTACGTTGACATATACAAACTCAACGATGATATGCATTTGTTGATTGAACGGTCTTGGTGGGGTGTATTATTAGGGGTTGAAGACAACAGCTATTTCGATGGGGGGTAAGTCTTATATTTCTTATATTTCAGTTTGATTAATTTTTTTTTTAAATTTATGTAATTCACTAATATATGTCTTTTTTTTGTAAAACAGCATATTGATGCATGGGTGACACGTCTTCTAATTGTAAGGAAATTGAAGAAAAATATTAAAAAAAACGCGATATACAATTATGCCGACGTCTTTTCACATAGTTCACTTGAAGAATCAACGACAGGAATCATATGTGTTGGCTAATGGACAAGCTAAACTTTATCCTGCATGGTGGGAGGTCGATAAGGTTAGTATATTTGTTTAAATATTTTAAGGGTGTTCATAAATAAGTGCGCAATTTGAATTATTACACTTCGATGCAGGTTTTTATCCCTGTTTTGGACCGTACTCATTGGCTTCTCATCGAGCTTCAGCTCCCATCCCTAAAGACAATAGTATATG